ATGGAAAAAAAAGCAAATGTATTTTAAAGCATCTGACAAATTATTGCAGGCAGGGAAGAAAATCAAACTATTAAAATGTAATTCGGAATCTAATTAAAACATACATTGTTCCAGGCAACCAGTACCAAACTGAGTACTTTAACTAAGGAAGGAAGTGAAGATTATTGTTTAGTGTAGTTTTCTTCCTTTGTTCTAAAGTATTAAAAAGAATCAAGACTTTCACTCAGTTACAATAGTGTAATCTGGAATATTGAATCAGATAGCTTGGCACTAACAAAAAAAACCAACAATGTTTTAATTGGTTCATACATTTATAATTTTCCTCTGGAAAACAAAAGTCTTACATTCCATGTCATTCCTTTAGCACTTAGGACAAAAACGATGATAAGTTTTTGGGTATATTATCTCAATTTGGCAATGGCTTGTTCTATCCCACAGCCCCCCCCCCAAAAAAAAACAACAAAAAAACAAAAACAAAACTTTTCATGTTTCCCTTCCTGGTTGAAGCAGGAAGTCACACTAACTAACCATAGTAGGAAACTGAACAACTCACATTCTTATGTACTAATTTGAACTCAAGTTTTCCAAAGGAATATCATCACCATATTTCCAAGTTTGGATAAAATAGGACACCATTGTCAATTAAACAATCATAGCTTATGGAAAGTGACTGGAGTTCTTGCTCATTCATTTCTTCACTTGTTAAGCCGAAATAGGATCACTCAAATTAAGCTATTGAGAACTTTGTCTAAAATAAAAGTATTTGCATTTGAAATAATATAAATTGATATTTTTATCTGTAGCACCTTATACTCCTGGTATAAGATACTCCTCTGGTGGCGCAGCAAGTTAAATCACTGAGTTGCTGAACGTGCTGACCGAAAGGTTGGCGCTTTGAATCTGGGGAGTGGAGTGAGCTCCTACTGCTAGGCCCAGCTTCTGCCATCCTAGCAGTTTGAAAACATGCAAGTGTGAGCAGATCAATAGGTACCGCTTCTTTGGGAAGGTAACAGTGCTCCATGCAGCCATGCTGGCCACATGACCTTGGAGGTGTCTACAGACAATGCCGGCTCTTTGGCTTAGAAATGGAGATGAGCACCATCCCCCAGAGTCAGACACAATTAGACTTAATGTCAGGGGAAACATTTATCTTTACTACCTTATACTCATAATTACATTTACAAGACTATTCATCATAACTTCAAAATGCAGTGAGAACTATCTTTGAAGTCATGTTCTTTCAAAGAGTGAGAAAGTATTTTGGCATTTTTCCTGAAGTACTGCAAAGGTGGCTAGTGTGTAAAATGTCCCATCAGGAGAAAGTCTATGGCTGAATCACCACATTTAAATTCTTAATGATTGCTTTTCCATGGTCAAGAGGACACATGGCAGTCGTGCTCTTATTTATTACTTACTGTTATAACTGCTGGCAGCCACCCAATTTCTATTAGTCATCAGTAGTCAGTGCTTTTAATCTCTAATTTTTAGAGCTAGTGCTAACTTAACCAAACAATGAGTCTAGAGTAACCAAAAACTTGTTTTTATTTTAGCCTAATGTGAATACAGTCATAGAGTATTTTGATCAGGTCTTGAATAGATTTATCACCATATAATTAAATAATGGAATTGACTATCTTGAGGCATGGTAATGACCATATATTTAAATGGATTTAGAGGGATTTAGAGATAAATTCATGAAAGATAAAGCTATCTCGAAGGCCTGAATATCCCAAAACACACTAGATCCCAACTGATCTTAGAGAGCTGAGCAGGATCAGCCCTGGTTATTACTCATGGAATATCAGGTTCTCTAGACTATATTTCAGACAATGGGACTGAGAAAACTGTCTCTGAGTATCCATTGCCTAACAAAAACCTATGAAATTCTTGGAGTCACAAGTCCACAGATGCCATGACAATACGTAGATGTTCAAAGCTATCAGTAGATAGTGGTCATGATGTGTTTATTTTCAGGTCAGAAGCAGCATTCTTATCCATTACTGAGAAATAATCAGATTTGACAGCTCTTATTTTATTATATCTAAGCTAAGTGAGCATTGTGAAATCATCACATACTTTATATACTTTTACAAAGATTTGATTATGAGGGATTATTTTTGAGATATCCTCCACTTCCATTCTATTGCACAGGGATTTTTATTAAAGCAAAAGATAAATCTAAAGACTATCGTTTTATTAATTAGAAAGGAAAAATGAATCAGAATTCTGGGGGGGGGGGGTGAAGCCTTCTAGGGCACAAAAATATGGTTTTCCCAGAAGAAAAACATATTTCTGGCTTTTTGAGTTGACCAGATCTACACTGCCAAATATTGCAGTTTGAACTAATAATGCCAAATCAATACTGCATATTACCAGCTTGGCTTTGCCATCCATTTCTTTTAACCTTTTTTTCATGTCAGGAGCGACTTGAGAAACGACAAGTCACTTCTGATGTGAGAAAATTAGCTATCTGCAAGGATGTTTCCCAGGGGACACCTGGATGTTTTACCATCATGTGGGAGGCTTCTGTCATGTCCCTGCCCGAGAAGCTGGAAATGACAGATGTGAGCTCACTCCGCTCCCCAGTTTCGAACTGCCAACCTTTCAGTCAGCAGTCCTGCCGGCACATGGGTTTAACTTATTGCATCCCCGGGGGCTCTTTGAACCTGATTCTCAGGGGGAAAATGGTAGATGTTTGCTACTAACTGGTTCCAACATAAGTTTAAAACTAATATTTTGCAGATGTCTGGGTTTACATTGTTTTAAAATTGTTTTCAAATAATGTTAGTTTTTTTTAGGTGAAGATAAGTAAAATTATCCAACACATTCACACATTTAATAAATATTAATAGTCAACCTTTAGTTTCTTTCTTTTTTTTTAAGTTGACTGTAAAGACCATGGCTGCATATGGAGAAGGAAACAAAGGAGATCTAGTAATCTAAGGTGCTTCAGAATCTGCTATCCCTGTGTCACTGTTCTAAGCAGGCATTTTCGATAGTAAGCCCTATTGAGTTCACTTGTATATGCCCTCAGGTACGTGTGTATATGATTATAGTACTGAACTCATTTGAAAGGATTCAAGGCATTCCTTCTGTGCATTCTCCATTAAATGTGGAATACATGCAACGCTGTTGTCAGACAAATACAAGACGAAAGCCTCTTTGGGCATGCAGAAATCATTACATTGTTCTTTGCATCCCAGCCAAAATGTTTTCCACCAATAACGTTTGTTCCTTTTTGTAGTCCTTTTTACTCTTTAACTTTATCCTTTTAATGTATAAGTTTAAACTGAAGACTATTCAACCCATAGGTTGAATAGTCCGCAAAATACTTTCTCACTACATCGGAAGTGGGAAATCTTCCCAGTTATTAGATGGAAGAATGTTTGGTTAACCTCTGCTTTGGGTTCTCACAACTCTGAGTTACTGAGAGCTTATCCAGTAATTAAAACATACAGTCAGACTCAGCTATGGGATTGTGAAACATGGAAATCATTTGACTCTCTCTATACTCTCATGAAGAAACAAATTACTCGATGTAGTCTCAGTATATAGATAATTATGAAATGTAAAGTTCAAATTACCTAATGTCAGTTGTAATTACTATGCTGAAGATGTTCAGTTAATAATTATTTTAAAGGAACATCACCAGTATTCAAGTACCAATATAGTAAGAAATAGAAATTACTAATAATTGCATACTAATTGACACAATGTGTCTAAAGTGCCTTTTCACATGTCAGTGAACATGTGGGAAACACGGGAGGACTGGACAATTAACCTTGATATGTTCAGACACACAACAATCGGTTAAAAGTGTTTTGGTTAAAAGTGTCTTCAGTAACAGCAATTTGACCCTTGATCTTTCAAGATGGTGCATTGGTAGATCTTTCAAGATGGTGCATTGGTAGATGAGATGAGAGGCAGCATACATGGCTGTGTATTATTCAACATTGAGTGAAGGTATCTGATGGTTGACTTGTACATGGCTGTGCATGGTTGATGTATTCATCCAAATAAGCAACAAGCAATGAGATGTCCAACAAATCACTCATACAGAATAAAAATAGGAACAACATGGGGCATGATAAGAACTGTCACATGTTTCAGAAACGTGGGATAAGCACAAGTGAAAAGTTTGCACTACATCCTCTCTGTCCTGCTGATTTTCAGAGAGTTAATTTCTACATCCCTACTTCATTCCCGATCTTTTGCCTTGCACTTTGGCATTTTAAATCTGACCTTTCCACTCTTCTCTCCCCTAGCAGTTGAGGCTATCCTATGTCAATATGTGTGCTCTTCCTACCTCCTATAAAATTGACCTAAGCATCCCATTTGAAGTGTAAGGAGTGGGAGCGGAGGGGAAGACGGAACTGTATCTATTATTGTGCTGTATGAACAGAAAATAAAATTACAGCCCCCAAATTCCAACTGGATCATTCTTTTTTCTCCCTGAGCTTATGTCAATACACAGGACGACAGAGCAGGGAGAGCTAAATAAATAAGTGTGACATGAGGTTTCGCACAATAACAGCAGGGGAGAAGGCAGGGCACTTCAATTAATAATGGAGCACAGAGTTCCTGATAGAGCCGTTCTTTAATAATGTTTAAAAGAGCTACAAGGTGCCCTGGGAGAGGCTTTACAGATAACTGCTGTGGGCATTTTGCCCAGCTCTGCCCAAGAGGCACAGCTCCTCCAGCAGAATAAGATCAAAAAGGAAATGGAAATTGCTTTCTTTGACAAGAATGGGTACATTTTGAAGCAAGATTTCAACCAGGCTTGACGCTAGGGGAAAGGTGTTCTTCTCCCAAAGAATACTGAAATAAAGGACCAGGCAAATTTCTTCCTTGGAATTGTACAGCATTCCTATCAGCTGAAGAGAGAAAATGCCTCTTGATGACACAGTGATTTAGGTTGTCACAGTGGTTATTTTAAAAGAGATACTAAATAAAAATTAGTATATTCTTGTGTATACTTTCGATGTTTTTCTTTTTTCCAGCATGGCTATGGTGACAAAAACTACTCTGAATATAATTGCATTTGGAGGTAAGCAACAAAAATAAATAGTAATTAAAATGTAATTTTACATCTGAAAATGGAATGTCCCATTATGGAAAAAGTGAGATTTGTAACCCCCCTAGCATCCCAAAAAGCAGATATAAGATACTTAAACCTTGCAGATAATTAGTAAATAATAGATATATTCACTAATTATGTGTAGTGACATATTCTTAAGATTGATGGACATGGAGCCAAGGTATTCAGTCAATTGGAAATATGGATTCCAATATACAGGTTTTTTTAAAACCATATATTTAAAACCAAAAACAACAACAAAACAAAACAGTTTTTGTATGGTTTTACATAGCTTGACATCAAAACTGTTTTCAGACTGACAAATGACCTAGGGTATGCCCTAAAATCTCAATTTTATTTTATTTGCATTCATTTGTCATTCAATCCCTTTGAAGGACCAAGACATCTTATAAAACAGACTAAGAGTACATCTACGCTGTAGAATTAATGCAGTTTGACCTTAATTGTCACAGCTTAATGCTACAGAATCACAACAGTTGTAGCTTTACAACTTTAGCCTTCTTTAGCCTTCTTTGCCAAATAGAGCTGGCATCTCATCAAACTATAACTTTCATGACCCCATAGCAGAGAACCATGGCATTTAAAATGGTGTCACACTGTGTTAATTCTACAGTTTAGATGCATCCAAAGAGAGCACGATTTCTGCTTGTATCTCCCCAATTAAGTATCATATTAACTGGACCAAACTGCATATATAGTTCTTGTTATTGCAATTTGATCAACTGGACAACTGTTTCTATCACTTCGCACAATTTCCATTAATAAATAGCTTATAACACTTTAAAAAGTTTAGCTCAGTTTATAAAAGAGTAAATCTTAACAAAAAACTGTCTACCTAATCTGAAAAAAAATGTGGTTGCAGAACTACAGTACTTTGAACATGAGGCTTGGAGGATGGAACTATCAGCTCTTAATTATGACGACCTGATGAAACTTCCACATCTACAAGCAGTTGCTAAGAGACATCCCTGGACAATAAAGATTATTGGAATCCATTTCAGTCTGGTTTCTAGCACATTGTTAAAGTAAAATAGTTCATCCCAATCTATGACCTTTGCCAAGATATAGCTAAAGAGATGTGCTTCTTATTAGTTTCTGACAGCATCCTACTGGATTAATAATATTGGATGGATAAATGTGAAAACATGTCCCTGGTTCTAATCTTGTTAGGTTGACTTTTGAGGGAGGTGTCGGGACCTGTTTGCTCTGTACAGCAACATTCATGTTGTGCACCATTGTTCTCTTAGATTCATACTATTTAACATCGGTTTGGAATTGTTAATGGAGACGTGGAAGGAAATTGAATGAAATGTCACTTATATGCTGATAACACCCAACTCTATTTATTTATTCATGTAATTGAAATGTTGAGTAGATGATCAAAATAAGGCACTGGCTTCGCTAATGGATGAAAACAAGTGTAATAGATGAGAATAAATGAAAAATATTGCTCTGTGTGTGCATGTATGTGTTTGAGAGAGAAAGAGATATCCGGTCATTTGTTCATCACTAACATGTTTAAGTATTTTAGGCTTCTGTATCTTTAGCTGCTAATATCTTCTGGAGAGGCCCTTCTCTCGCTCTCACCACCGCCCCAAGTGTGATTGATGGGGACGAGGGAGAAGGCGTTCTCGGTGGTGGCCCCTCCTCAGAGACCTAAGACAAGCCCCGTCACTTGCCTCCCTCCACAAAGAACTAAAAACCTGGTGGTTCCAACAGGCTTTTGGAAATGATTAACCTCAGGCGATTAGTTAGGCCTCTGCTCTTTACACACATCCCCAGCCCTTGCTATTTAGCCCTGGTATAGCCCTTTTATACCTATTCAATAGGCCCTGGAAATGAAGAGACCCAGGCACCACCGTGGCCATTAGCTATGGCCTTGTCATGCACTTTATCCACTTCCCCAGGCCCTATGTTTTCCCCATTGGCCCAGCCCTCTTGTGGTTATGCAACACACCTTGAAAATAATAGCTCCAGGCCCCACCCTGATCATCAGGTAGGCCATGCTTGCATTTTACTCACTCCCTGGCCCTAATCTACTTTGTCGTGTCAACCCAGCCCTCTCTTAGTTGGCGAGGTCCATTTTGGAATCTTAGTGATTGGAAGCTGAGCTGCCTAATGGAATGAGTATCAGATTGGTTTTAATTTAAAGATGTGTGATTGTCATATAGTACTATGTTTATAATGTTTTTATATGTTTTTATGTCAGTAAGTGCAATGCTTACCATGCTGGAAACCGCCGTGATTCCCTTTGGGGAGATAGAGCAGTATACAAATAAAGGTTTATTATTATTTGAAACACAGCAAACAAGATCACTATGCTGGTTGTTGTTTAGGATCACACGCCAGACACTTCCCAAGTATTTAGGGAATTATGTATCAGCGAATAATGTGTGCGGATCCCAATAGCGTGGCCTTTTGCAGTTGACAGATGGTAATTTTGTCAGCGCTGATTGTGTTTAAGTGCAGGCCAAGGTCTTTAGACACTGCACCCAGTGTACCGATCACCACTGGGACTACCTTTACTGGCTTGTGCCAGAGTCTTTGCAGTTCAATCCTTGTATTGTGTCAGTTTTTCCAGTTGTTTCTCCTCAATCCTGCTGTTGCCTGGGATTGCAACAGCAACAATCCATACTTTGTTTTTTAAACACAATTGTGAGGTCAGAAGTATTGTATCCCAAAACTCTGTCAGTCCGAATTCAGAAGTTGCAGAGTAGTTTGATGTGTTCATTTTCTGTAAGTTTTGTGGCTTGTGACACCACCAGTTCTTTGTGGCAGGCAGATGGTATTTGTGGCACAGGTTCCAGTGAATCATCTGAGCAATGGTGTTATGCCTCTGCTTGTAGTCTGTCTGCGCAATCTTCCTGCAGCATCTGAGGATGTGATCTATTGTTTCATCTGCTTCCATGTAGAGTCTACACTTGGGATCTGTCATCGACTTTTCAATTTTGACTTTGATGGCATTTTATTATTATCAGCATCATCGTCATCCTCATCATCGTTATGACCGTCCCTCAAAGCTAAGAAGCATAGATTATTGTTACATTCATCAACTATTTATATCTTACTACATATATAAGTGAGATTGCCCATTATAGCAAAAGCAGCTGGTCATGACTATGATAGGACTCTGAATGTATAAGTGAGATTCAAATAATATCCAACATCGTTTATATTTTGTGCTGGAGGATTGCTCAGAAATACTGGGAATGTTTTCCTTTGACCCTAGCTTTATTTTGATATAGGACAGGCTAGCTATCTGTCCTATATAGAACTCACCCCAATCTATAACACTTTCAAAAAACAAAGAACCACGGTGTGAGTAACTGCACTGGTTGGTTGAGGGAATCATAAGATCCTCGGGGAGCAGTGGAGACAAGATCAGAACCCTTCTAGCAAGTGAGTTTTATTAAGAAAGGAAAACTAAATGGCAATTCAGTGGTTAACTGGAAAAGCAGTCCCAGAGATGAGAGAGAAAGAAAGATGAGAAGCAAGACAGCTGCCAGCTATGAAGTCTGTACAGTGGATTGCTTTGGCTTCTGGGAGAATTGTCATGGGAATTGAAAGCTTCTGATAGGAATGGGGATTCATAGTATCAGGGTAAATCTGAAGAAAAGGTAAAAAGAGGCTTTCCTCAGCTGAAACAAGGCTTTGCTGGGTAGAGTCTACCTGAAGTATGTATGCAGAAAGAGATGCCTCAAAGCTAGAGTTTTCAACTAAGTCAGGCTACATTTAAAACAAGAGCCTAGAATTAAGTATTTAGTATATGAGAAGAAACCAGCAGTTCAAGAAACTTAGGCAGGGGATCAAACATAGAATGGCATTGTCGAACAACTGTAGGGAGGCTGCTGGCTTACTTTCAAAACACATGTTGAGCTCTGGGATTCAGAGGTCATTCTAGCGTCTGATCATGAAGTCTCAGAAAAAATAGGGTGGTCTTAAGTGGAATAATGCTGATATAAAAATAAATACTATGATGTCATTTTGGTTTGGTTTTGGGTTTTTTGCTTTACAAATTGAAGTATAAGTTTCAAGATAAATGTAAAGTATAGTCCTTGGGAGTATATGCAGAAAACATTCCAAAGCTGACACAGTGGTGGCATATTAATTGGAGGATTAGGAATAGTAATTATTTTGAAAGATCAAAAGCGAGCGCTAGGAACCAAGGATTGTGCTTTGTTCAGAACAGCAGATATTTTCAGTGGGAAGCATTGTCCTATAACGTCATCAGATAGGGAAAGAATCTGTGCCATGCTCTACTTCAATGACTCTTAAGGCATGGAGTCTGATGACTCCCATAACACAATGTACAACTATTTCTGGTGGGGCTCTGTGCTTAAAGGGGTGGCAAATTGGAGCATGTCACCTCAAAGGCAACATGGGAAGCTTCCTTTGTTCCACCGGGGGAAGCCAGATGGTTGACACTTTTGCCTGTGGGATGCTCAGCAGAGTGAATTGCTTAATGTGGGGTGTGGGGTGATGGGTTACTCATGCCCCATCCCCAACATGCACCACCAGAATTGCTACCATTTGTAGCAATTCCGGTGGCCTTTATGATAAGGTCCCTAGGCTGAATCCACACAAGGACTATATCCCAGCTTTAGTACACAGTATCGTGCCCTGGTTTGACTCTGACAAGACCACAATCATATATATTAATGCAATGTCAGATCTGACTTGAAAGCCACACAGTTCTTATTTCCAGAAGATATACATATTAGTACAAAGGGCCAAAAGTGAAGCTTAGTCTGCCTCAGAGAAAGGAATGGTTCCTTTTAAAAATAAGAATTCCAGTATGATACTTACATTGACCCATTAATAAGTCAATTTTCATCCTGGATAGATTACTACAATGCACTTTACATGGGGTTGCCTCTGAGGATGGCTCAAAAACTACAACTTTGGCAAAGATCTGTAGCTAAACTACTATCAAGCTGATAGCAGGAAAC